TCAGTATGTGAGGTATCTCAATGTTTTCATGACAAAACTCTAACATGAGACTGTGCTCTAACCTGTCACATAACAAGCCTAATGCAGTCAAACATTTCAGATGGACCGTATGACAGCTGCTAACGTTGGCCCTGCCCTACTTTACCTCTACATTACAGTTCCTTTATTCGTGTCCATCCTAGAGCTCCTCTCTGACCTTCATACTTATTTAGAGCAGCTGATTTTTAAAGTTAGTGTTCATCCTTGGTAGTGGGTTCACTCACTCATTTAACCCTTCACCACTGAAATCAGTTTGTTCATTCCAATCCTCCTAAATAATCCTCCAATCATCCAACTGGAATCCTTAAGGGTCCTGTAACGTCCATCCTGTCAGAACAGGCCTTGAGAGCCCAGGTGTTACTAGAACTAACGGTGTCTCCTCACCAGCGTGAGCCTCCAAACTGTGAAGGTTGGTCTCCAAACATGAACTTTAAATTCATGCATTTATCTCCTCTTGTAACACGTTAACATGTTTTAAAAGGCTTGTATCATGATAAGTTACACCTCCCAGACCAAAGATAAGATAAAACATTATCGTAGACACTATTATGACATCATTATTTATGAAATAGAAGTTATTTTCCTGAGCCATTACTTCAGCCAAGATATAGGATACATGGATTTGATGAAACCACGCTGTCTCGTGCAGTTCTATATGTGTAACACACACACACATGCACGCACGCACATACACACGCAAGCGCGCGCGCACGCACACACACTGCAGCACATTAGAATCATGTGAATGACTAATTTAACTACATTGAACTGCTTTTGTAATAATTTAATCTCTTATTCTGGAGTAAAATAAAGAAACAAGCTAAATCATCACATATCTGTGGCATCAAGGAGCATATTCTGAGTTCAAACACAGGGATGGAGCACAATGTTTACACCTGAACAGTATCAGGATGTTTTAACTCACAGAGGCCTGCAGGTCTTCTGTTTTATGAGCAGAGCGCTGATAATCCGCTTGTTAGGAGCGCTAAATGTTATGTTGCCGCTGCCGTGCGGAGCGGTAGGGAAACACAATTCAAACACGGAACCGAGTCTGGTGACCGAACTGAGCAGAATTCTGATGACGTCACACCGGTGCGCGAAGGTGCGGGATGTCATCCAACCCACAGGAGAGGAGGGAGAGAGGAGGTAAACAGCGAGTTGAGGAACTGAACTGATGTCTTTGAGCAAAAGTGTACACCCCCCCCCCCCCCCCCCCCCCCCCCCCCCGGTTTAGACGTGGCTCTCATGCAGGTGTCTATTTCCGTTCCGACGTTGCTTCACGTAATATTTTTAATTTATGAAGCCTATAATTATTTTTACTCAGTAACAGATATGATTTAAAATGTAGCGAATTACAATTCTTTTTAAAAAACTTACTCAAGTAAAAGTACAGCTTTTAAAAATGACTTAAAAAGTATAAATATACAAAAAAGCTACTCAATTACAGTAATGTGAGTAAATGTAATTCGTTACTTTCCACCTCTGCCTGTAATTGATTTTAACCGAAACAAGAAAACTGTCCTTGTGGAAACTAAATACATGCTAAAGAAAACTGATTTTCTATACTTCTACATCAAAGGTATTTCTAACATTTACTGTGACTAGTGATGCACCGATTCAAAATTTTTGGACAGATACCGATATTATTTTCACTGTTATGGCCAATAACCGATACCGATATACTGACATTAATGCTTCTAAAATCAGCTTTTGGATAGAATATGTCTTTCATAAATATTTACACTCAAATGGTGAATTTGTGGTTATTACTCAAAAGTATAATTTACAGCAAAAACTAGACAGGGAGATCTACAACACCTCTTGCCTGATTTTAATATTTAGTAAGGCGAATGAACAAGATAAGTATCCACACACTTTAATCTGTGATGTGAGCGCTTTATTAGTTGAGCTTTTGGTCAGAGAGTTGTGCACAACTCCTGACGAAGGTCTCTGACCGAAAGCTCAACTAATAAAGCGCTCACATCACAGATTGAAGTGTGCGGATTCTTATCTTGTTCATTCCACTTTTGATCCAGCACCTTACCCAGATGAGCGGTGACTCCTTCTACTCTAATATTTAGTAAGGCAAAAATCCTCAAACTGCTTGATATTACCGTATTTTCCGCACCATAGGGCTCACCTGATTATAGGGCGCACAGCCAATCAGCTTCCTAGTAAAAGGTTTGGTCCGCACATGAGGCTCACCTGATTATAGGGCGCACAGCCAATCAGCTTCCTAGTTAAAGGTTTGGTCCGCACATGAGGCTCACCTGATTATAGGGCGCACAGCCAAAGAAAAAAAAAGCACTCACATTTTTTTTCATTCCCTGTCCATAAATCCCTCAAAATCCTCGTCCTCTGTGTCTGACATGAAGAACTGACCCAGCACTTAACCCAGCGCGCTCGGCTCCGACGCGCCCGGCTCATCGCCGTCAGAGTCAATGTCACTGTCATTGCTCGGCTCTCCCGTTGTGATCCCGGCCTTGGTGAAAGCTCGACACAACAGTCTGGACGGAAATGTTGGCCCAGGCATCAGCGATCCACTCACAGATGGTGGCATAAGTCGATCGGCGCTGCCTGCCCATCTTGGTGAACGTGTGGTCGCCATCAGTCATCCTGCGCTCCCACGCTGCTTGGACTTTTGCACTGAAGGATCGGTTCACCCCGATGTCCAGCGGCTGGATTTCTTTGGTTAATCCACCTGGTATGATGGTCCTCATCCATTCAGCCCTTCGGGTTCACCTTGATGATCACGCGGGTGGGAAACCTTTCTTTGGGTAAAGTCTTCCGCTTGAAGATGACCATTGGTGGCAGCTTCTGGCCATCAGCCTGGCAGGCGAGCACGACGGTGAAGAACGACTTCTCGTGGCCGGTCATCCACAAAGACACCGTGCTGGTCCCCAATTTCTCCACGGTCCAGTTCACTGCGATGTCGAAGGTAAGCGGGACCTCGTCCATGTTGGTGATGTGCTGGGGCTGGATGTTTTTGTCTGCCATCTTCTCAGTGCAATAGGAGCAGAACAACTAGCTTCTCAGCGTAGTCGGCGGGTAGCTGGTGCGGGTAGTTCTGGTGCGGATAGAAAGTGCTCGCCTCCGCATGAAGCAAAAACACCAGGAAGGGCCTCCTATGAAGTCTGCAAAGTCCATCTCTCGTGCTATTGCTGCAGCTTTGAGACGAATGGAGACGAATGGAGACGGTGGAGATGATTCTGCTCGCCGTTCGCTGCTCTGCGACCCACTGCTCAACTCGATCTTCAAGCAGCGGCCATCTTGCCTTGTTGCCTCTGAAGCTACGCTCTGTTTTCTTCACCTGCAGCAGCTGGTCTTCCAGCTTTCTCCACTTGCGGACCATCGACTCGTTAATCTTGTATTCTCTCACTGCTGCTCTGTTTCCATGCTCAACGGCGTAAGTCAGGGGTGTCCAGCAGGTTTTGTGGTTTTTCTACTCCAACAGACTTGATTCAGTGGTTGAAACACCTGTGCAGCAGCTCATCAGGCTCTGCAGAAGCCTAATTAGCTGCTGATTGAAATCAGGTGTGATGAAACAGAGTTCAAACTAAAACATGCAGGACACCGGCCCTCCAGGACCAGGATTGGACACCCCTGGTGTAAGTGATGGCTTTGAGCTTGAACTCTGCCTCCTAAGCGTGTCTCTTCGCTGGTGCCATGGCTGGTTACTGGTATTGCTGTGTGGAGCAGTGCCACACCTTTTATTTGGTGAGGGTGGGCGGTGCTACGGGCCAGCACTTTATTTTCCTGCGGACGCAGGTGTGGCTGGCTTCACTTACGTCCTTAATACATGTATAAAAGGTGCATCCGTATTAAAAGGCGCACTGCCAGTTCAGGGGAAAATCAAAGGTTTTTAATAGTGCCTTATGGTGCGGAAAATACGGTAGTTGGATGAGTTTGTAGCCAACTCCAGTGTGACCTAGTGTCCGTGAAAATTTAAACACTATTTCACCTAACTGTGGTTGTTGATGTCCACAAGTATTAATTGAGTGGAACCTTTGCACCAACATCTAAATACCTGAACTGTCCTTTTTAATCGGACGTCCATCTTCAATTTTCTTTTTAAGCCTGTAATAAACTTTACATACTATAAAAGTCCACCTTAAATCCACCTTAAGCAGTCTGTCCTTCAAACAGAGAAAGCGCTTGTGTCGCTGTGTACAGAAACTATGCAGGCAGGAGCTCGTTGTGCAGACGACCCCCCCCCCCCCCCCCCCACACACACACACACACACACACACACACACACACACACACACACCAGGTGGTCAAGCACACACACCAGAAAAATTAGTTAAAAGACTAGACCGCAAGGTAGTCCCACACCTGAACCAGCATCCACACAAAAAACTGAAAATCAAAAATCCCCCAAAAAGAAAAACCCAACAAGAACTAGGCAGCAAACACCTGAGCGTGACTGTGCTCTGTTGTGTGGGTTAGTTTTGGTACCTTTTGTCTCCTGCCCTGGACGTTTCACCTGGCCAGGTAAAAGTGGTTGAATATAACATCGTACCTGAGTGACTCATTCAATGCTCTCGTGCACACCTGGCTGCTATAGCTACCACTGTTAGGAGGCTAAGAGGCTAACCTCTAACTAGCTTTTCTGAGTCCTCTTTAATGAATGCTAGCATACGCAGGAGCTAGCGCGGCTAGCCTGAATGAGCTGCCACAAGTTGGGGAAGCTCGCTAGGATGAAAAAAGAAGTTCCCGGCGAGCAGAGAGCCGCCTCGGGAGCAGAAGAAACGGAAAACACTAAAGCAAAAAGCAGACATTGTGTCCCGTTTGATGTTAGCCCCCGCAGCTGCGGCGCTAGCGCTCTCTGCTAGCTATGTAATGTCACTGCATCGTTGTTATAAATACATTATAACAGCATTTACACGTGTGGACAACCGCTAAAACTCCTTCTGAGGGGCATCCGTGAGCGGAAAAACCCTCACCAGTGGACAGCTCACCTGCTCCGGACTCTGGTCGCACATTCTCACCGCGGAGACATCACCCCGGCGAGCCCGAAAACCGCTGGAGCTTTTTATTTCCAAGGACACAAAAACGCCATGACAGTTTAGGAAAAATGCATAAAAAATTAGCACGCAGAGGAAGGAGGGAGGGGGGAGAGAAGAGGGATGGGGAGGTTAGGGGGAGGATGAGGAGGAGGGAGGGAGAAAAGAGGAGTGGAAAATCTATTAAATCCACATAAAGCTAGCAGCAGCGGCGCGGACTTCATTCAGTCTGGATGCCGGAGCCGAACCGAGCCACATCCAGAACCCAAAGTTAAAGGGCACCTCTGTCCTAAAATGGCCTCTGCATTGGCCAAAACACAGTTAGCTTGTTTTATCCGCCGTGAAGTTTAGCGGCAGTCAGCCTAACCTCGGCACTCGGGTCTCCTCTATTGGCTGCGGCCGTTAGCGCAGCTGGCTCCCCGCATGTTTCCATTGGCCCCGCAGCTGTCACGCAAAGCGAACCGAGCCAGGCTCTACCGGGTTTGTCTGAGAGCTATCGCGCCAACCCCGGGGCTGTTTTTTCCACCCTTCCCCGCTGATTCGCATCGATTCTCTGCCTCCAGTTTTCTCCTTTCTTCGTGGTTTTTGTTTTTCGTTCGTGTGTCCGTTCTTACCGCAGACCCACACGGACGGAGATCCTGCTGGTACCGGAGGAAGCTTCCCGCCGCACCGACCGGCTGCTGTCATTGAAGGGAGGAAATAAACAAGAAGGGGAGCGTTCAGCTTTCACACACCCCCCCCCCCCCCCCCCCCCCCCCCCCCCCGATGCAACAAAACCGAGAGGTTTACATTTCTCCTCTGCTGGCTGCGTCCACCAATCATGTCGCTTTTTACTCCTCCATCATTACCGGGTCTGAAGGGCGGACGACAAGAAACGAGACATTCCACGTCTTTTGCGGATCAGGTTCCGTTTCCCGGATGTTTAGCCTGTTGGCTTGACCCGAACCTGCAGCTCTGGGCCCTTTAGGTGCTTTTAGTGGTCAGACTGCCCGTACAGCTCCACCTGGAGAGTTGGTGCCCCGCTTCGCCCACCTGTAAGCGTCGCCGCGGGATTCCCCACAAATAAAACCAGCATAGAAAGACCTAAAATACAGAAAAAACACACCTAGCCTGTCACACAGCTGACCACCAGAACCTCATGAACTAACCTCAGAACGTTCTTGTCTCCCTGGAGGGCTCTTCTTGGTCTGTTCTCTACTAACACAGGTCTGTTGTTGATTCAGACACGTTTCCTGCAAACTGATCTGGAAGCACAAACTGGAGGGAAATACAAACCGCATTCAGTAAAGTTTAGTCCTTCAGAATTATAAATAAGAAAATATGTTTTTCTTTTTTTTTTTTATTGCAAGGAATGATGCAAACCGGCTTACTGAGTTGGAATAAAACCAAATAGAATCAAAACTCTGCAACTGCTTTAAAAAGGTTAAATAACCGGAAATAAGAGACAATAAAGCATAAGTTGAATCTGATCAAACACCAGGGTTTTAGTTATTTATGACCTAATGAACAAGTAAGGTTCTTACATACCTTTAATGTAAAGGTTTTTATTCCAGTTTTCTTTTTTATACTGATTCATTTGTGTTAAATTTAAGTCAAATCAACAAAACTATTGTGTTCCTTTGCATTTTTCTTTAGCTCTTTGTAGATGATTAACTCAGATTTACTTCCAGTCTCCTGAGGACCTTAAAGCTTCCAGATGGAGCATCAGGATTGGTACCTTCATCAGAGACCGGTCATACCCACTCCTATAATGTCTACTGCCCCCTGGTGGAGGATTTACAGGATGGCCAGTTTTATTTTATTTTACTTATATGATTACTTATTAAAACAAAACAAAATGTTTTTATTATTGTAGCAGATTTCAGACAAGAATGTTCTGGTGGATTTTCTTTTTTTAATCTTAGAAAGTTGTATAAACTGGACATTGCCTAGATGTATCATCAGCAAGGATCAGTGATGCAACTTCAGACACTTGGAGGCATTTTGGATGGACTTGATATGTAACTTTAAGAGACAACTCGCCGACTACAGTGGGATGTTCTGACTCATGGACACGACGGAAGAGTAGGTTTCAAACTGATAATATGTTATAAACAGGAAGTGTGGTGTTGTTTAAACTTCCTATAAAAAAGATTAATGGCAAAAAAAAGTGTATAAATTATTGAAAATGGCCTGATTTTATTTTTAGCCTCACTCTGTCACAGAAACTCAACATCAATGTCAAACTATCTTTAAAGCATTGCAAAAAAGTGCTATAAATGAACATCAAAACAGAATATTGTTAAAACAATTTAAACATAAAATGCGATCATAAAATATTTCTGAATTGAATCGGAAAATTCAAAAACAACTACCTCTTAAACCCTAGGCCAGGGGTGTCAAACTCATTTTAGCCCTGGGGCCACATTGAGGGAAATAAATGGGCCATTCCCATCTGTACCGGGTCAGCCCGGGCCGGGTAGCGTAGGTTGTTTACATATCTGGGTGGCCTGGTATTTTTCCGGGCCAACCAAGGCTCATTCTCAGCCCTCTTCTCGAGGGGGTCTGCTTCAGGCCGACCAGGGCCAACACACCCACTGCTGACAGCAAATTCACACCTTCCATTAGAGCAAGCCTCTGATTGGTGGGTAGAATCAGCCCACATGGGCTTAAGGCAAGGATGTGTGGAATCAACCGGGCCAGGCTGGGGCCGACTGGGGCTACCCGGCCCGGGCCGACCCGGTACAGATGGGAATGGCCCACTAGTCTCAAGTGGGCCGGACCGGTAAATAAAAAAAAAAACTTCAGATTGTTTTCTTTGTTTTAATACAATCAATATAAAACAAGGCTGGAGCCTGAGGACAGTGTAGTACAAGTACAACACCTGAAGTGTACTTGAAAATTTGAAAAAAAAAATCAACAAATAAAAAAACATTCCTTGGTGATTCAAAGAGCTTACAGATCACATGGCTAGATCAGTTTCATGCAGCACTTAAAGTATATTTGACTCATTTTACTTTACATCTTTTAGCTTTCACCAGCACATCAATATCAGAAGTCACATCCTGAGTGGCGGCTAACTTCAGGATGTGATTCAAGTTCTTGTGTGAGCCTTGAGCGCAGCTTTGTTTTATTTATACTCATTACAGAGAAAACTTGCTCACAATGATAAGTTTATTTTCACTCTACATTGTAAAGTATGAAAGTAAAGTTTACACAACCATCTCACGGGCCGGATTTAACCCGCTTGCGGGCCGCATGTTTGACACCCCTGCCCTAGGCCTAATGATCATTTAGAAGTTTTCCTTCTGCTTCTCTAAGTACAGTTTTTTCTGAAGGCTTAAACCCTAACTGTGATTATTAAAGCACAATTTCTAAAACTATTAAAGCAAAACCACTCACCGAGTTCGCAAAACTAAAAGCACAAACACTGCTTTGCACTCAGTTTGCAATTTTGTAACACACACTTTGCAAAACTGTAGGCACAATTCTCTGCACAACACTCTTTTTGCAGAACTTTAAACACAACTCACTGCATACCCTCAATTACCAAATTTCCAACACACTCCCAGCAAAATTATATACATGTAAGGCTATCATCAACACTATTTTGCCAACTGTCTGACACACTTTCACATGTGAAAACTGTTTTAGATAATTAGTTCACTTTGCAATCAGCCTAAGCACTATAAATAAGCCACAGGTAAGCTGTCTATGTGGAATACAATTGAAGGAGCAGTAAGAGTGCGAATCAGAGGAGGCCGAGGGAGAGGACATGGAGGTGAAGAAGATGGAGGAAGAGGACAAGGAAGAAGAGGGGAAAGAAGAAGAGTAAGAAACTAACTGATGACATCAGAGCTACAATAGTGGACCATGTCATCAACGATGGGATGACCCCGAGGGCAGCTGGCCAATGGGTTCAGCCTAATTTGAGCCGTTACACTGTGGCAAGCATCATTAGGGCATTTCAAAATGAGAATCGGTAAGTACTTTGTAGGACTGCCATACAATGAGAAACACAAATAAATGATAAATGACCCACACTTGTATAGCACCTCTTAGAGTAAGGATTTCAAAGCGCTTCATACTACAGTGTATCATTCATTCATTCACACACACATTCACACTCTGATGGTGATGAGCTACATTGTAGCCACAGCTGCCCTGGGGCGCACTGACGGAGGCGAGGCTGCCGAGCACAGCCGCCACCGGCCCCTCCAACCACCACCAGCAGGCAAGGTGGGTTAATGGGCCATTCCTGTCTGTACCGGGTCGGCCCGGGCCGGGTAGCCCCAGTCGGCCCCAGCCTGGCCCGGTTGATTCCACACATCCTTGTCTTAAGCCCATGTGGGCTGATTCTACCCACCAATCAGAGGCTTGCTCTAATGGAAGGTGTGAATTTGCTGTCAGCAGTGGGTGTGTTGGCCCTGGTCGGCCTGAAGCAGACCCCCTCGAGAAGAGGGCTGAGAATGAGCCTTGGTTGGCCCGGAAAAATACCAGGCCACCCAGATATGTAAACAACCTACGCTACCCGGCCCGGGCTGACCCGGTACAGATGGGAATGGCCCATAAGTGTCTTGCCCAAGGAAACAACAGCAGAATTCTCTGTCCGGAGCCGGGATCGAACCTGCAACCTTCCGATTATTGGCCAACCCGCTCAACCTCCTGAGCTACTGCTGCCCCAGTACCATACATGCAAAAATATTGAAATTGTCACTTTACAGAATTGCTAGACGCCAAGATGTTGGGGGCAGAGGAAGAATGTTCCCTCCAGAGCAAGACACACATATAGTGAACATGGTGATTGCCAATAATGCAATAAGACTGTGAGAATACAGCAGCACATAATTGATAATGACACTGTATATCAAAATATACACAGTGCAAGCATTTCTGCACTAAGTCGTGTAATTGCGCGCCACAGAATACGAATGAAGCAAATTTACAGAGTTCCTTTCGACAGAAACAGAACGTGTAAAGCAACTGCGATATGACTGTGTGCAGGTAAGCTATAGTGTCATTGGTTCTGAATTTGGAAGTGCATACTGTAGAGCTGTGCATGGGCCTGATGTGTTGCATTTGAAGAAGAAGAAAATATAATTTCTATAGCGCCTCTCAAGATAAAAATCATGAGGCGCTTCACAAAAACAAAAAATGTTAAAATATAAAAAAGAATTTAGAAAATGGCTAAAATATATTTAAAATGAGCAAAAAATAGACAATTGTGATTTAAACAATGTTAAGAAAGAGAGAGCGTGAATAGGAAAGAGGGTAATCAGTGGATCCTGAGGAAGGTGGAATAGGTGGGGAGAGCAGAATAAAGAGAGAGTTGTGAAGAAGGTCATACAAAAGCCAGCATGAACAAATGAGTCTTCAGCTGCTTTTTAAAGGAGTCCACTGATCTCAGGCTCAAGGGGAGAGAGTTCCAGAGTCTGGGGGCCACAGCAGCAAATGATCTGTCACCTTTGGTCTTTAGCCTGGTGCTGCACAACCAGTAGGTTTTGATCACTGGACCTCAGGGACCTGCTGGGGGTGTAGGGACTGAGAAGATCACCAATGTAAGATGGTGCTTGTCCATGTAGGGCCCTATAGACCAGAACCAGGATCTTGAAATGAACCCTGAAGTTGACTGGCAGCCAGTGAAGCTGGAGGAGAAGCGGGGTGATGTGGGTGTGGCCAAGATGGCGCCTGTGCTTGGCTTAGCCGCAGTCAACGGCCACCTTTTCAAACTTTTCTCCACTAACCTCCTCTTTTCCACCTTGCTCCTGTCTGCGATCCTCTTCGGTAGTGTCCCTGCTACCATCTCCTATGATCGCCAGACTCTTTTGTCCTTCCGTTCGTTCATGATCGCCCAAGATGCACCAAGGACGTACCTCCCTGTTTGTTTATGTGAGTAGCGCACTGGCCCGGAGCCAAACAATGATCCCATACAGCGCACCTCCAGCTATGTTCGTCCGAACCCGGGAAAACGTTGGAGGAAAAGAGGTAAACGAGCTGGAATCCAGGTGAGAACAAGACTCCTCTTAAAGCATGGTTTATCTAGTAAACATCGGTGTGATCTTCTAGCTTCTTTTCCTTTGTTTTGCGACCTGAGCGCCACTTCCGCATTCCCGCCAGGCCGCGTTGCGGTGCGGTTTCTCCGTCCAAGTTTTTTAAGGTCGGTTTATCCTCATTCCTCAGTGGTTTCTCCTCCTGTTCCCTCATAAGTGGTTTTTATAAACACCATGGATCTAACCCTGCTAATTTACGTCCACTAACTCCAGCTGTTTCTGTAGTTTCTGATTCCTCCACCTCACTCAGCATGGCACTATTAAATACCCGCTCTGTTAACAATAAGACCTTCCAGCTCAATGATCTAATTCTCTCTAAAAACCTGGATTTTCTGTTTCTGACTGAAGTTTGGCAGCAAACATCTGATTATTCTGGTCTGATTGAACTCTGCCCGAGTGGTTATTCTTTTCTTAGCCATTCTTAGGGTTCTGGTCGTGGTGGAGGCCTAGCTGTTGTTTTCAGAGACCATCTTCCATGTAGCTCTACAACCTCTGGTCACTTTGCTTCCTTTGAACTGCAGCTGATTAAAGTTGGGTTTAAGGACCCGTTCTACTGTGCTGTGGTCTATCGTCCACCTGGTCCTAACGTTTCTTTCCTTCAGGAGTTTGGTGACTTTCTATCCTCCACTGTAAAGCTGTCCAGATTGGTGATTGTTGGTGACTTTAACATCCATGTTGATGATCCCTCCGATCTCTTTGCCATGAATTTCTCCAGCCTTATGGACACCTTCGGCTTTACCTAGCATGTTTCTGGCCCCACACACACCAGGGGACACACTCTAGACCTTGTTTTTACCCTGAGTCTAAATGCTGACAGTGTTTGTCCCGAGGACGTTTATATTTCAGATCACCATTGAATTTTCTTTAACTTGTCAGTTTCTGCATCCCCACCTCCTGCTCGCCGTATGGTTAGTTCTCGTTTTCTTAATGAGAGCACAGCTAGCAATTTTTCTGCTGCTTTTGATCCATCCTGTTCTTCTGATAATGACCCAGATTCCTTAACTTCTCAGTTTAACAAGCACTGCCTCTCCATTCTGGACAACATCTGTCCTGTCAGAACCAGATCAGTTCCTGCAGTGAACCCTACTCCCTGGTTTGATGACAGCCTTCGCAGCCTGAAGCGCCAATGCAGAAAAGTTGAGCGTTTGTGGAAGAAAACCCATCTCCACGTCCATCTGCTGCACCTAAAGGATCTTCTGTCATCCTTTAACTCTGCAGTCTTTCGATGCCAGGGTTTCCTATTTTTCCATCCTGGTGTCCCAGAGCAAAGGGAACCCCAAGGTGCTGTTTAACACCATCAGCAGTATTGTCTCTCCTGCCTCTTCTACAGCCTCCATCCACTCTGTTGCAGACTGTGAGAACTTTCTGTCTTTCTTTGTGGACAAAGTCAATAAGGTTAGATCTAGCATCTCTCCTTCAGCCTTGTCGCTGCCTCTCCCGACTTCAACCAGGCCCATCATCCTAGATAGCTTTGCTCCTGTTTCTTTGCCTGAGTTAGCCAAACTAGTTAACTCTATGAAGACCTCTGCATGCCCCCTCGACATCTTACCCTCATCTTTGTTTAAAAGTGCTTTTCAGTCCATCGGTCCCAGCGTGCTCTCTATAATTAATGCTTCTCTGGTTTCTGGTCAGGTCCCTGCTTACTTTAAGAACGCTGTAATCCACCCTCTTCTTAAAAAACCGAGTCTCGACCCCTCTCTCCATAGCAGCTTCAGACCCATCTCTAAACTTCCGTTCATCTCCAAGATCTTGGAAAAGGTTGTGGCTAAACAACTCACAGCTGCTCTTGATGAACATAACATCTATGATAGCTTCCAGTCAGGTTTTCGTAGAGCTCATTCTACTGAAACAGCTCTTCTTAGGGTCTCTA